GAGGAGTGGACAAATCAACCATGATTGGATTAGATCTCGGAGGAGTTCTGAAATTATCCTGCACGGCCGTTGATGGCCTTGGGAACTCACTCCGATTAGGAGATTGACTCTGATACGGAGCAGATCTCCTAGCATCACGAACCGCGGAGGGTTGTGTCATGCCCAGGCCTTTGGCCACGGACAGTTTAGGAACAACAGGCCTATCCGTTCGCATAGGAACATCAGGTCTCGAGTCAGCAATAACAATGTCATTTAAATCAGTCGCATTGGACACTCTAGACTCAGACATCGATTCAATATCAGTCGCATTACTGATGGTATGATTGCGACTAGAACTTGATGCCATCATGGATTCAGATTCTATCGGAACATTAGCTCCGTCCATGTCGTCTAGGGCGAAAATGGAAGCCGCGTTGGGCGTAGGGCGAACACCTTGTGCGTTCATGCCACTTGACCTATTAAATTCCTCCTGGAATGCCTCGATTCCATCAAGCACGTTAACGAGTGTGTCCGCGTTTAGCGGATCTCTACCAATGATTGACGCTGGATCACCTGATCGACCGCGTCCTGAGTCCCGCGCACTGGGGTTACCTCTGTGGGCAGTTTCCCGATCCATCCCCCTTGCCCTATGCGATCCAGTCGAATTTGACCTTGATCGTTTGCTTGGGGTTGGACTGGGATGCAAATCCAATCTATCTACAATATTGCGCTCCCTAGGGCTCTCAAATCCTGAAAGTCCTGGGGGCGGGGACATGTTCCTCATGGTCGGGTTTACCGACGGCCTTGGCCTGACGTTACGGCTGGCCACATCAGGATTGAGATTCTCAATCAATAAAGGTAGCATGAATTCATCGCTTCCAGCAGCCCGTTTTGGGCTTTGGAATTGCGGGAAAGATGACGGGGCTGGTGGCCCTGGCATCCATGCGGCAAAATCCATACCAAAAATATTTCCGTCGTTGGGCCATGAGGCTCTCCAATCGAGCCCACCGGATTCGGTCGGCAGATGAACATCGAATGCAACCCCACTGGATGTACCAGGTTCGGGATTACCGAGCGCTTGAAAAACTATACTGCTGGTTGGCACAGGTCTACTGCCACTTCGAGAGTCACGAAACTCGGACTGACCAATATTCATCAGCTCCGGGAAAGATGAGGATTGAGCTCCAGGTGCAATACCGGGCTCGTCGTCATCACGTCCTGAGACGGAATCATCATGGTCAGGACGATTAGCCCCATGACCCTGAGAGCGATTAGCTCTTGAGGCATTAGACGATAGGTCATCAGTGCGAGTAGCACTGGACCTTCCTGAAGGCATTGCTTCTGAAAAAGTGTGGTCCGACAAAAAGTCAGGACCGGAAAACATCGGCTGTCCGGGCACTTGGTCGTCATTCACAACATCCAAGATTCCGGGATTCCGGCCTGGCCAAGAACCCACTCATCGGTCACCACATGAGGTCCATCCTCTGTGATTCCCGCCATGAGTCCTACAGTAGCCTATGGAAAACGGCGCCTGCAGGGTTGTTATTAAATGGGGTTCGCGGTGCCAACCGAGGACGAATCCTACGGCTGATAACCTGCGAAAGGGTTTGAAACAGAGTTTCGGGATGGATAAAACAGGCCCTAACCCACCAACAAGAAGAGACCACCTTATCCCCCCGGTCCCAAAGGCAAAGCGGTTGCCCTCGGCCGGCACAAACACGAACCAAAAGGGGTGCCAGTTGAACAAACAGAAGAATGAGCCCAGCAAGGGCAGACAGCGAGCGGAGG